ATCTTTTCATATTTTCAAGAGCCATTATTATAATTTTTGTGAATTATCTCTTCAATTCTGTTGCTTATTCTGTTGCTTATTTTTCTACTGAGGTTTGATCTTTCCCCTTCAATTTCTAAGTTTTCTTTATACCGTGTATTAGTAATATTAGCCTTTTCTGTGTTAAGAAATTTGCAAATAATTTGTCTTTTATAGCTTGACTTTTTTGGGGGGGGGTTGTCAGGCAAAAAAAAATTTAGTCTTTTCATCAAAAAATTTTTTATTAAGGTGTGCAATGAGCCAAGATGAAAAAATGGGCTCATAGAGGGCTGTAGCTCTCAGTAATTGACATTCCCCAGTAACGAGATCACAAGCTTTTATTTACTTACATAGCAGTTAGGCTGCAGATGAATGCGGTAAGATTCATTGTGGGCTCAGTCTCCCTCAGACCCCTGTCCCAGGGTGAGTTGACACAGAAAATCTCTCTGCACACATAAAGCTCCAAGATTATGTTGCAAGCGAAAGACAAAGGTGTCTAGGAGTTTTAGACCTTAGAGTTCATGGGAACAGGGAGAGTAAGAGGAAGGGGCCTTTTTTCAGCTGCACCTTGCCTGACCATCCTGTTGTCAAGCTTTCTTTAAACTCAAACAGTATGGCAGTCCTGTGACCATGGGTGCATGACCAGAAAGAACATTTATTCTCCCGCTAGCTATACGATTATGTTATTGCGTTAGTAAAATTAGTAGTCATAGAGACAGTTATTGTGGGTTCCACTGAACAGGGAGGAGGCTTTCTCTGACAAGCAGAGGGGACTGAGAGAAAGAAAGAGACCCAGTTCCCAGCCTTCCTATCAGAGAATGCTCCAAGCCCAAGGCCTCAGCTTAGGCAGCCTGGATGGGAATTGTAAAGGCAGACCACCAGCAAGGTGAAATTCACATAACCTAAAATAATCTCCTTTGACAGGAATGGGAATAGATGCTTGTATACCATTGTTCATTGCAGCACTATTCATAATAGCCAAAAGGTGGAAACAACCTAAATGTCCATCATCAGATGAATGGATAAACACAATGTGGTATGTACATGCAGTAGAATATTATTCAACCACAAAGAGAAATGAAATCCTGATACATGCTATAACATGGATAAACCTTGAAAACATTATGCTAAGTAAGTGAATCACAAAGGACAAATATTATATGATCCCATTTATATGAGATATCTACAATTGGCAAGTGTATAGAGACCAAAGTCTATTAGTGGTTATGAGCAGGCAGGAAAGAGGGGTTCATTCCTTAGGGGGCACCAAGCTTCTGTTAAGGGTGATGGAAAACCTTGGAAAGGGATAGTGGTGATGGATTCACAACATGATAAATGTAGTTAATGTCACTGAATTCTGCATGTAAAAATTGTTGACATACTAAATGTTTTATGTTTACCAAAAAATTAACTGTTTTGAAATGTACAATTCAGGAGCGTTCAGTACATTCACAATGTTGTGAAACCGCCACCACTTAAGTTCCAAAGTATTTTCTTCACCCCAACAGACAACTCTGTGTTCATTAAGCAGTCACATCCTATTTCCCCCTCCCTGCTACCCCTGGCAACCACCAATATACTATGGATTTATCTATTCTGGATATTGCGTATAACTGGAATCACAAAATGACCTTTTGTTTCTGGCTTCTTCAACTTAGCATGTTTTCAAGGTTCATCCATGTTGTAGTATACATCAGTGCTTCAGTTCTCTTTATGGCTGAATATTCAGATACTAGATTTTTTACTATTGCTGTAAATGCGAAATGTCAGATAATGACATAGTCGATAAGTAAGTAGGAGGAGTATACCATATTTTGTTTATCCATTCATCCATTGAAGGACATTTGTTTCTACGTTTTGCCTATTGTGAATAGTGCTGCTATGGACATTTGTGTGCAAGTATTTTAGTATGTTTTCAGTTTTGGGGAGTGTACAGCTAGGAGTGAAATGACTGGTTATATGGTAATTCTATGTTTAACTTTTTGAGGTACCATGTCTTCAGCTGAGTTATCCACAGAAGCAAAACAGTGGTGTGTAGGTGTGTGTATATATATATATGGGGGCGGGGAGACACTAATCTCTAGGAAATGGCTCATGCAGTTGTGGAGGCTGGCAAATCCCAAATCTGTGGCTCAGGCATTGAGCTGAAGGCTTCCTCAACTCTTGTGGTTGCAGGGGCTGACAAACCCAAAATCAGCAGGTCAGACAGCAGGCTGCTGCTTCACGGGGCTGTGGGAGCTGGCGAATCCCAAAATCTGCAGGTCAGGCGGCGGCTGCTGGCTCACGTCCACAGAACCGGAAGTCAGATGATGATCAGTCACACGCAGGAACGAGAGCAAAAGGCAGCGAGCTTTGACAGAACGCCCATATATATTGGATACAGGCCACACCCCCGAGGAAACCACCCTCACAACTGACTGGCTGATCACATCATGGAGGTGATTACGTTATATTTACTTATGGAAGAGCCATCAGTGCAATGTTTGCCAAACCACTGAGTCATAACCTAATTAAGTTGACATATAACATTAACCATCACTAACTGCCATACTACTTTCCACAGAAGCTTTGCTAAAATTGATGTTCACTGTAAAATCAAAACATATACTTCATAATAATTATAAAATGGAAAAATCCCACAAATTGCTCCTTGCCATAAAAAATCCCAAAGGATCAGTATTCCCTTACACATTGTTTGTGCACACAAACATGAACACATAAACACAAAAATTTGATGATGCTATAATGGCTACAATCTGTGATTTCCTAAAGTCCGTATTATGTCCTTTTTCTGTTATGTTACGTATCTGTTCCATCATTTTAATAACTTCATATTATTAGAGGTATATATCAAAATTGAAAAAACTTCCTATTGTAAACTTATTATATCCACTTAAAAAAATTGACTGACATCATTAATGTAGTACCCATCTTTTTGGTGTTTTAATCTCATCATTATAGCATCCTATCCCATGATTTCCAGGACAAAGATACACATTCTGACATATCCTCCTTTCCAAAAGCCATGTTTTTACTGCCACCAATAGGGAAAAGTGTGTAAATATTAGTCCTGTCTCAAAAATGAATTCATTTAACTACCAAATTCCAATGTTTTATTTTTTGTTTATTTAGGTATTTTTCTCATGGGTGGGAGAGAATAATATGGGAGAGGGAACTTGACAAAATTACTGTCCTTGAAATTTAGAATGGCCCACACCTGAGTTTTGATAAAAGGAATGCTACACTAATTAGAAGGCAATCATATCAATGCATGGATGGAAATGCAGAGAATCACAATCAATGATCAATTCATAGAGAAAAGGTTTGTCATTGGTACCTAGTTATGACTCTTTGAAAGCATTACAGTAAACCACTTCTTGTTGAAAACACATTCAATTGTGTAACATGCAATGTCCTGTTACTGCAAGGAGCCCTGGTGGTGCAGTGGTTAAGAGCTTGCGGCTAACCAAAAGGTCAGCAGTTCAAATCCAACAGTCACTCCTTGGAAACCCTAGAGGGCAGTTCTACTCTGTCCTATACGGTCGCTATGAGTTGGAATCACTTGTCTATCTAGTGGTGCTATAACAGACATAGCACAAGTGGATAGCTTTGACAAAGATAAATTTATTTCTTCATAGTAAAGTAGGCTAAAAGTCCAAATTCAGGGCATCAGCTCCAGGGGAAGGCTTTATCAATCTTCCCCTGGACTAGGAACTTCTCCACAGAGGGACCCTGGGTCCAAAGGACACGCTCTGCTCCTGGCACTGTTTTTTTGGTGGTATGAGGTCCCCCTGCCTCTGCTCGCTTCTCTCTTTTATATCTCAACGGACTGCCTGAAAACACGATCCAATCTTGTAGATTGAGTCCTGCCTCACACAACTGCTGCCCATTCTCCCTCATTAACATCACAGCGGCAAGATTTACAACATATAGGAAAATCACACAATACCGGGAAGCACAGCCCAGCCAAACTGATACATTTTTTGGGGGACATAATTCAATCCATGACACCACTTGATGGCAATGGGTTTGGTTTTTTGGTTTGGTTATTGCAAGGTTAACTAAAACTGTCTGTACTCTCTGGAGTACAGAAATTGAATTTATACTCTATACAACTTAGACAGAGGCCCAAATAATAAGTTGAGGACAGGAGAGGCTCGAAGAAGGACAGGAGCCAACTGCAAATATGTTAATATGTTGATACTAAATTAATATTGTGGATTGCAGTACTGAGTAGTTTTCTGCATCTCAACTAATGTTTGTTCCCAGGAATTAAGATTTTATTTTACAAGCGTACTCTTCTGGATACAATTTTCAAATATTGTACATTTTCTCCTTTAGATATATTTAACAAACGAGTGTGAAGAACTGGTGGTTCAGTGGTAGAATTCTCACTTCTCATGCCGGAGACCCGTGTTCAATTTTTGACCAATGTACCTCATGTGCAGCTACCATCCATCAGTGGTGTCTTGTGTGTTGCTATGATACCAGATAGGTTTCAGAGGAGCTTCCAGTCAGACAGACTAAGAAGAAAGGGCTGGTAATCTACTTCTGAAAATCAGCCAACAAAAATGCTATAGATCACAATGGAACACTGTGTATCAGGATGCTATGAGTCAGGGCCAACTCAAAGTTACCTAACAACAACAAAGTACTGAGCACACCTATCATGTGTTATTCAATGGTAAGGTTGTGTAGATTAACCAGAAATCAACAAATCCCTGCCCTCATGGAGCTTATATCATAGTGGACATTGATTTTGAAATGTCCATCATTATACTTTTGTAAAGACATGATCAAACTCTTTCTAGGTCCTAGCTCCTGAGTGACAGCTGGAAACTGTCAAGGTTCTGAGAAAAACCTGTACTGCACCACTTAACAAAGGTTCTCTGCTGTGTGGTCTCTTGACCACTGGGATTTGTTGAGCTATGGCAGGAACACTGACTCTATTGAAACAAATGTTTTGCCTCCCACAAGACCCAATGAACACAATAATTCAGGTTGCACATGAGTTTTTATAAATTATTTTATAGAACTTCTTTAATCTGAAGATTCTCTGAAGTTCATCACTCTCATTACTTTTATAAAACTTATCATCACCATGGATTCTTTGATGTCTTACAAGATCTGAATTCAACCTAAAGTGCTTACTACCTGTCTTACATTTATAAGGTTTTTCTGCTGTGTAAATGTTCTGATGACATTGAAGTTCTGAAAACTGATGGAAGACTTTAGCATACACATCTGTACAGTTTCTCTCCTGTGTGGACCTTATGGTGATTGTCAAGACTGTAGCTCCACTGTGAATTCTGACCAAATCCCTTCCCACACTATTTACTTTTGAATGGCTTTTCTCCAGTGTGGACTTTCTGGTGGGTCAGAAGATATGAAGCCTGAGTGAAGCCCTTCCCACACTCCTTGCAGTTATAGGGTTTCTCTCCTGTATGGACCCTCTTATGGATATAAAGTTTTGAGCGAAAACTGAAACCCTTCCCACAGTGCTCACATTTGTACGGTTGCTCTCCTGTGTGCATTCTGTAATGATTAATAAATGATGATCTAAAATGGAAGTTCTTACCACATGCATCACATTTGAATGGCTTTTCCCCAGTGTGGATTCTCTGATGTTCCCGAAAACGTGAAGCACGAATAAAGGCCCTGCCACATTCCTCACAATTATAGGGTTTCTCTCCTATGTGGATTCTACAATGAATTTTATGATCTCCTCTACGACTGAAGCCTTTCCCACACACTTCACATTTATAGGGTTTGTCTCCAGTGTGGGCTACCAGATGAAATTCATAATAGTATTTTGTCATAAAGCTCTTCCCACACTCCTCACATTTGTACGGTTTCTCTCTTGCGTGGATTCCCTGATGGGATCGAAGGTGTGACTTCTGAACAAAGCGCTTCCCACACTCTTCACACTTGAATGGTTTTTCTCCACTGTGACCTCTCCGGTGGATCAGAAGATGTGAGGCCTGATTAAAGCCCTTCCCACACTCCTCACATTTGTATGGTTTCTCTCCTGGGTGAAGCAAATAATGGGTATTAAGTGCTGATCTACGACGGAAGTTCTCACCACAAGCATCACATTTGAAACGTTTCTTCCCGGTGTTGATTTTCTGGCGTTCTGGTAGATGTAATGCACAAATAAAGCTCCTCTGACATTCCTCACAATTACAAGTTTTCTCTTGTGTATGGACTTTGCAATGAACATTAAGTGCTGATCTATGACTGAAGCCTTTCCCACTTTCTTCGCATTTGGGTGATTTCTCTATGGTGTGGACTTTTTGATGCATTTGCAGATGTGAGCTCTGACTAAATTCCTTACCACAGTCAACACACTTACATAGTTTCTTTTTCATGTGAACTCTCTGATGAATACGAAGAATTGAGCTATAACGGAAGCTTTTTCCACACTCAATACATGTATGAGACTTCTCTCCTGAGTGTGACTGTTGATGAAGATCAAAACTGGAGACATCACTGAAGGTTTCCGTACACTCATTACACTGATAAGATTTCTCTCCTGTGTGAATAATAGATGGTCCTGCCTCAACCTGGCAGGACGAATCACCCTGTTTGCAGAACTGAGACCTATTTATCATGGAGTCTTGATATCTGGTTAAGACTCTTGCAATCTGTTGCCAGATTTGCCAGCAGGAAAGTTCCTCATGTGGTTGTGCTTCTGGAGTAGTCTCCATCTCACTTTGGATCTTGCTCCCTGTAAAGGCAAGATAATTCAGAGATTTGGGCAACTAAAAGCTTTGTTCAGTCAGGTTTCAATATTTCACACTCAGAACATGAGATTTTAATGAAACCAAAGATGATTCTGGTTGTCTTTTCCATGGTGTATTATTATGTTCTCTGGTGCAAACAGTTAACACACCTGGCTGCTAACCAAAAGCTTGGAAGTTGAAGTCCACCCAGAGGATCCTCAGAAGAAAGGGCTGGCAATCTACTTCTGAAAACTCAGCCACTGAAAACCCTATGGTGCACAGTTCTACTCTGACACACACAGGGTCACCATGAGTCACACACTACTCAATGGCAACTGGTTGGTTTATCATGTTCTCTGGTATAAAAGACTACAGAAACCAGGAAGTGGTCTAGCAGGCTCCTATCCACTAAGCATTAACAAGAACCATTATACCACACCAAGTCTGTTATGGGAGGTACAAATTACAAATTAAAGACTTGATTAAAAAAAAAACAACAATATACAAACTGCTAACCTGTTGCTATCTTTATTAAATTATAAAGTCAGTATAAAATCTTGGACAGTAAATTATGAAGATGCTTGCTACCCTAGTCTTTATCAGTGGTGGAAGAATGGTTTCAGAATTGTTTTTTTCAATCGGCCATTTAACAGTAAAGGAATGGTTAATGATAACACTACATCGTAAAACCTTCCGAAGGAATGTTTTGTGGACCGTTTGTTTCTTTTTTTATGTGGCAGTTTTGGTACTAGTTTTTAAAATCAGTACTTTTTAAATGGGAAGAACTTGACCAAAAAATCTGTCATAGAATTTTGAGACCCATTAAAACAAAGTTTAATGAATGAGGAAAAAAAATTATGTCAATAAAATACGAATAAATGAGAACTTGAAGGAAATAACATAATACTTTTTGAGTTTATGTTATATATTGTAATTATAAAACACCTAGAAGTGTTTATATCTACATTGTTATGGATCGAATTGTGTCCCCCAAAAAGATATGCTGAAGTCTTAATCCCTGGTACCTGTGAACATGTTTTTTTTTTTTAATTTTTTTTTTTGTGTGTTTTTGGTGAATGTTTACACAGCACATTAGGTTCCCATTTCACAATTTCTACACAAATTGTTCAGTGACATTAGTTACATTTTTCACAACATTCTCTTTAATTACGATCTGGTTGTTCCATTTCCAGTGCTCTAGTTTCCCTTCACCCCTTGTCTTCTCATCTTTGCTTTCGAGTAATTTTTAACATTTTGGTCTCATATAGATGGTTTTTTAATGGAGCCCCATACTCATGGGTAATATTCTTTATTTTGTGTGCCAATCTGTTATTTCACTAAAAGGTGACCTTAGGGGATATTTTCGGCTCAAGGTTTAAAGAGTATCTCAGGGCGATAGCCTTGGGGAGCCCTTTCGTCAACCTGTCCAGTAAGTCTGGACTTTTTCAGAATTTGAGTTCCGTTCCACATTTTTATCCCATTCTATCAGGGTCCACCTACAGGGTACTGTAAACTAGTTTCTTCTCTGGGACTTTGGTTTGTTTCTTTCTCTTTTGCTCCTTATGAGTAGAGATCAATAATTATTTAACATGGCTGTTCGCAAGCTTTCAAGACCCCAGACACTACTCATCTCACTGGGATGCAGAACATGAACTCTGTGAACTATATTATGCCAAATGATTGATTTGTCCCATGCGACCAAGATCCTAAGCCTTCAAACCCAGAAAACCAATCTCGCGAGGTGTTAGGGTATGTCCGAGAAGTATCTCTAACTCTGTCCTCTATGAATATATATGCGTGCACACACACATCTGTATGTACATGTATAGATGCTTCTGTCTGTGCACACATATGTACACACCTCTACCTACCCGACTTGACGGCAAAAGGTTTGTTTCTTTTGGTTTTTGTAGCTACCCGTACATATATATGCCTATACACATATATATGTGACCATAAACTCCTTTTTCAGTTAGTGTTAGTGAACATGTCCTGTTTTGAAAACAGAGCCTCTGAAATTATTATAAGTTAACATGACGTCATGCTGGAGTAGGGAGAGTCCTAATCCAATCTGATGGTGTCCTACAAAAGAGAAGAGACATAGAGGAAAGATAGCCAGGTGAGGCTGAAGCCTCAAGTCAAGCAACACCTGGGTCTACAAGAAGCTGGGAGACACAAGAAAGGATCTTCCTCAGACACTTCGAAGGGAGCACAGCCCAGTCCATACGTTGATTTGGACTTCTAGCCTCCAGAACTTTAAAATGATAAATTTCTGTTCTCATAAGCCACCCAGTTTGTGGTATTTTGTTACAGTAGTCCTAGGAAACGTATATGTACATGTTCAAAGTATTCCTGGAGATTCTGCAAACATGCATACCTACTTGTACTTTTTTTATACAGACAATAAGTTAGTTAACTTTTGCAAACTCTTGACACCCTATAAAGTAAGTTAGAAACGTCTTTTCTAAACTATTTATGCTTATTGGTATTCCAGTTTCTAAATTTATACAAACAACTATTATGTGTAAAAAACAAAAACCAAACCCGTTGCCGCTGAGTCAATTCTGACTCATAGCAACCCTATAGGACCGAACAGAACTGCCCCATAGGGTTTCAAAGGAGAGGGTGGTAGATTCGAACTGCCAACCTTTTGGTTAGCAGCCATAGCTCTTAACAACTGCACCACCGGGGCTCCAATATATGTTTAAATTTTTTGGTAAACTTCTTAAATAAAGGTTAAAAATTACCTCTGAGGAAATTTTGAAAGAGGAGAAATTCACTTCCCTCCCTGCAGGAATAGTCAATTAATAGGTGCTTCTTACTTTCTTTCAGCAGACAGCTGATGAAGAGCCTCTATAGAATTCTGTGTGGTGGCTATTTTATCAGAACATTGCTCCAATGTCAAGCTGGAATGGTTGGAATGACTTGCAGGCTTGGAACAAAATACTTTATCACATACTGACTAAAACATAGCGTATAATGTGAGAGTAGACCTTTAGCTCCTTCTGGGAAGTTGCCTCCTGAGGCCAAAGGGGAAAGTAAGTTGAAGTGATAACATACACTATTCCGAAATCGGACAGTAATCCAGAGCTCCAGGGAAAAAAAAAAAAGTGGAAGCTCATCTTTTACAAGAGACTGAGCCTAGGAGAAGGAAAACATCATGTTGAATAAATAAACAAATCCCAGTTTGCCTTTTTTGTGAGTGTTTAAGCCAAGTCAAAAGAGCTTTTCCACATCAGTTACATGAAATAGGAAAGACTGGAAACCAGTTTTCTTGGAGAGTTGAAAGGCTGTACAAGAGACAGGGGCCCATAAGTTGGTGCTCCTGATGAGAAAATCACAGGTGGTAAGAATCAAGGGGGTGGGGGGAAAAAAAAAAGAATCACAAGGGAGCGAAAAGAAAGCATGAGGTTTATGCACTGGTTTCTCTTGAGGCTTTGAACTGTGTTTTTGGAAAAGAGTGTGAAAAACTTTGGAGGTAGATACATTGGCCTTTTACAACCATTTTTCAAATTGAAGATTGCATCTCATTAGTGAGCTGTGAAATATATTTAATAACCTATAATAAACTGACAAAAGAAACACAATAGAAACTATCAGAGCATCATCACAAGCAGGGAAGGTGTCATTACACGAAATGTCTTATAACGTTATCCATATTAATCTACACAGACAAGAAACGTTTCCACTGGTTATGATGGAAGACACGTTTCTTTCTATGCTACGGCTCATGCTCAAAAAGTTTGGAAAGTTTGGTTCAGGAAATAACCAAGTCCTTATTTAAACAAATTGTTCAAACAGAAAGACAAGTTCCAATGGTAGAAATTTGGAAAAACATTAATAGCTTAATAGATAAGTCCGTATCTTGTGGTAGAGCCTGTAGCTTATGATATTTTATGTATTTGGTAAACTGTCACTTTAAATGGCAGCGGACTCTGTTTGAGACTGCATCAATATTGTGTGGGTAGTTTCCTGATTCTTTCTAGGTTTTAATGTTCATTGGTTGAAAATAAAACACCAGGTCTTCATAAAAATGAAAGGAAAATTGTGTGAAATCTATATTCTTTACCATTTGCTTAACGAGTAACTTGTGGAAAATAAAGGCACAGACACAGACATATTTCTGAACCTGAGATGACCAGAAATATCAACATTCAGCAGCACTCAGCCGTGTGACTCCTGTTACTCTCATCCTAACTCTGCCCCTCCAGCACAGGGAAGAGGAAGCCTGGGGGCAGTGATGTGGACTTTAGGGGAGTGAATGGGCTGCAGCTGTCAAATCTTTCAAAGGGAAGGAAGCTTGCTT